GCTCTACCGAAAAAATTAATAGACGAGGCAAGGACTGCGCGGGAGTTAAAGAAAATAGCGAGGGATAAAGAGAGAGAAGTGAGGGCCAAAGAACTCCAGTTAAGACGCGCCCAAAAAGCTCGCGATCGCGCAGTCGCAACTTCAAAAAAAGCTCGCGATAAGCAAAATATACCTAAACGAAAAGCTTCATCGTCTCAAAAGTCAAAAAAGTCAAAGGGTGGTGGTGATGCAGGCAGCCAAAGTGGTGGTGCGTCTGCATCGTCGGCTGCGCAGCCCACCACCAAAACAACGATGCGCGGCCGCAACATCAAATTGCCAAAGAAATTTGAGTAGATAGGATTGTTTTTTGAACTATTTAGACTACTCCACCAAAAAATCTCGTGATAATAGCTTTTGTATGGTGCTCTACAGCCTCATTTTTGATAGGCGGACATTTTAGTGGTGGTGTTGCATTGTCTGACCCGTTGCACGCATTGACCACCCACACTAATATGCGCCGAGAAATTCCGCCCCGCTCCGCCCTGCTTCACGCCCAGCCTGGGCCTGGACCGCTCAACGTCTCGTCCATGGCCGCAGCACCAGACCGGCACCGAGACATCCCAACACGCTGGTTCCCGACTAAGCACTACGCCAGCCGGCTCGATGCATGGAATATTCGACCCATCTGAAAGCGGGGAACCCTTGCACCGGTGCTATAATACCCCACAGATACCCATTGGCTCACCTGAGCACAATCTCACCCCCAGCATCCTATTCGTTGCTGTTCAACCCTGACTTATTACAGACAACTTTTTTGCTTCCCTGACTCTCGTGGGACATCCACCAGTCACACGGCAAGGATGTGCCACAGGCTGAAGGGAGGCTGGACTATGACTGGACCGTGGACCGTTTCTGCAGTATAGTCCATACGCACTGCAACATGAAACAATATTAACCCCCTACATTACGCGCGCTGTGCATGCCTAGGACGTGGCACTGAGCTTCAGCAGGTGCTTTGTATGCTTAGCCGAGCTTGCCGTTCGTGCCCAGGGCTGCGCAGACCACCAATCCAAGGATAGGTCGATATATCGCCCTCTGGTCGGATGATGACCCTCCCCTCATTCCATAGTATCTTGAAATTACGCGTGACTTGGGAAACGGCACATTGGGCAGACACCGCCAGACAGACCTTTCTCATGACTCGACGTCGTGGGTGGGTACGTATTCCAGCTTTCACTGAAGCTGGACGCAAGACACGGTCTTCTACACATAGCAGAACCTCGTCATTTGGCCAAGAAACAGGTAAAATAATATCAGCAAACTTTAAATTTTGATACAATGCATATATCTGGGCTTTCGGGAGTATAATTCCTTACGTAACGCATAGGAGCACAAGAAACTGGCGACTTTAGCCTCCGCTTGCCACTCGGGGGCGCCGTACGGTATCCACGTACCCAATCTACGCCATGTTAATTTTATATCAAGGATACTACCAACTATTCTTCCACTTTGGTGAAATTTGATGATTCGGGACGGAAGGGCCGCGCGAGCCGGGATGCAGAATATATAAGTTGTCCTGTTCAGCCTCTCCTCAAAGTACAACCACACAGAGATCAACTTCTTCCATCATGTACCAATCCCTCTTTGTCGCTGCTTCTCTTCTGTACGCGGCCCGCGGCCAACTGGTCGGGACGTCGCAAACAGAAACGCATCCTAGCATGACATGGCAGTCTTGCACTGCCAAAGGAAGCTGTACCACCAAGAATGGAAAAGTTGTCCTCGACGCCAACTGGCGCTGGCTTCATGTCAAGGGAGGGTATGTGTACACGACAGCATCGAAATCGCGCCTTCTGATGAGGTTTTAGCTACACCAATTGCTACACGGGCAACACGTGGGATTCGACATCATGCCCCGACAACAAGGCCTGTGCTACAAACTGTGCAATCGATGGGGCGGACTATACAGGCACCTATGGAATCACTGCCAGTGGCAACTCTCTGAAGCTCAAGTTTGTCACCAAAGGCTCGTACTCAACCAACATTGGTTCGCGAACCTATCTCATGAAAGACGACTCTACGTATGAGATGTTCAAGTTCACTGGCAACCAAGAATTCACCTTTGACGTCGATCTCTCGAAGCTGCCCTGCGGATTCAATGGAGCACTCTACTTTGTCTCCATGGATGCAGACGGCGGCCTTAAGAAGTACTCGACTAACAAGGCCGGCGCCAAGTACGGCACTGGATATTGCGATGCCCAATGCCCCAGGGACCTCAAGTTCATCAACGGCGAGGTTAGTAAATTAGTAACACAAAACTATCTTCTCAAACGTACTTACATGCTCAGGGTAATGTCGAAGGGTGGCAACCATCAGCCAACGACCAGAATGCGGGCGTCGGTGGCCACGGTTCGTGCTGCGCGGAGATGGATATTTGGGAGGCAAACTCGGTCAGCACGGCCGTGACCCCCCACTCATGCTCTACCATTGAGCAGTCCCGCTGCGACGGCGACGGATGTGGTGGCACATACTCTGCGGACCGGTATGCGGGCGTGTGCGACCCGGACGGCTGCGACTTCAACAGCTACCGCATGGGAGTCAAGAATTTCTACGGCAAGGGCAAGACAGTCGACACGTCTCAGAAGTTCACCGTCGTCACGCAGTTCATTGGCACGGGCGACAACTTGGAGATCAAGCGCTTCTACGTGCAGGGCGGCAAGACAATTGCACAGCCTGCATCCACCATCCCCGGCGTCGACGGCAACTCCATCACGACCAAGTTCTGTGACCAGCAGAAATCTGTGTTTGGCGATCGCTACACGTTCAAGGAGAAGGGCGGCATGGCCAACATGGCCAAGGCGCTTGCCAATGGCATGGTGCTCGTCATGAGTCTGTGGGATGACCATCACAGCAACATGCTTTGGCTCGATTCCACCTACCCCACCGACAAGAACCCGGATACTGATCTCGGCACCGGCAGGGGAGAGTGCGAGACTACCAGTGGTGTGCCAGCCGATGTTGAGAGCCAGTACCCCGATGCTACTGTTACTTATAGCAACATCAAGTTTGGGCCTTTGAACTCTACATTCGGTTAGAGGGGGTGAGGTGTGAGATAGTGCAGACAGGGGCGGAATAGGGTAGACAGGAGGCGGTGCAGAGAGGCTGTACATAAGAGTGAGTGGATGTGTGAATAGGGTAGGGTATTCTATGTGCGGGCAGATGCCAGAGTCTCTCGTTTAAGCAGCTATGCAGAATTTGAGTCTATTTCGGAATCTACGGCTTATCAGGATGCGGTGCCTTTCTGTTTATGAAGACGTGTGTGGGTTGGTGAGTGGTGATTGGCAAGGCGCATGTGGCCCGGGCCCAGCGTATACAATGGTCTAGCAGATGGCACAATGTGTTCGCTACGATACCCGCACAAGCTGCCATTGCATATCAGTATCCACGCAGTGAGCCCTGTCTTTTCTGAGCATACACAATCACAGAATTCTGCTTTTCCAGATATTCTTTCAATCCAATCAACCAGAGATGTCAACAATCAAGCCAAGCCAAGCTCCAGCTTGGCTTGCCTCAGCTTGATAGGCAAAAGCAAAACTGTCAGCTTGGCTTGGCTTGACTCAGCTTGGCTTGGTGTATCAAGCCAGCTTGATTGATGAGCTTGATGAGCTTGATGGTCATAGCGTCTTTTTCAAAGCTAGTTAAGTAGATAATATTAGCTATAGCTACAGCGACTATTCTTGGTGTTGAGTTTCGCTATCACTATTGATATCGCTATCCCATTACTCAGCTCATACAACGTCTCTATACTATCATCACTTATAG